GAGTGTGTCCCCCATTAAGCCGTGTGTGTGTGTGTGTGTGTGTGTGTGTGTGACTTGTACACTTTTGCTATGTATATTATATCCTTGCTACCCAGAGTGAGCCTCATCCAGCAGCATAGATGTCTCTGTGGGCTGCTGTGTAGAATCTGATATGTAGAATCTTGTGCCCCACCATCTGCCAAATTGGAAATTGCATTTATAGCAAAGCTGCCAGGTGATACACAGTATCACACAATATTGCCAGGTGCTTGGCAAACACAATATTATACTTCAATTTTTAAAATTGCCTCTATAGAAAATATCAGGACTTTGCCAGCAATAAAGAAGGTGGGAGAAGAGTGGGTTTGAGTCAGAAAGGAACAGGGCTAACTCTCAAGCGAAACCATAAGCTCTTTGTGGCTATGGGTTATGCCTGAATGCTTTTCTGTTCTTCCACAGGGTTTCCAAGTGGGTGCTTACTGATCCTTAATCAGTGAAAACTTTTTATACTTCTTTTTTCTTCTCTTCTCCTTTTTCACTTTCCTTCCTTCCTTCTCTGCACTCTGTGCCCCTCCAGGGCCTCAGGCAGTGCTGGTGGGCATGAGGGTGAGGGTGAGGAAAGGAAGAATCTGATGCTGACCTGGTTATGTGGCAGGGACAGTGTGGGGGTGAAAGTGAGATGGCAGTTTCCTCTGAACTGTGACCCTTATTCCCTTCAGAGCAGCAAAGAATTAGACTTTGGGGACATAATAAGAACATCTAACCCTTACTAAGAAAGGGCAACCGACAGAGGTTCCACTGAAGCCATCACATTAGGGGCTGTAACCAGTGCTGGCCCACCTCGGCTGGAGCCGTCAGAGTGACTCAGACTCTGGGGTAGGGGTGTCATGGAAGCTAGCTGTGTGGTGCCAACCATGGCTGAATCACTCACTGGAGTGGGGGTAAAACAGCTGAAAATACACAGTATGCATACGATGATTCCATCCTAAGACTACCTGATAAGAAATATTCATTCTGCCAAACTGGGATTCTAAACTCTAGAAACATAGGTATTTTAGGAACAGCACATTCATTTCTTTTGTTCTGATGTAAGACGAAAATTCTGCTTCTGATTTCTGCCTGCAGTCTGAGCTCTCTCAGACTTTCCTATGGGCCCCCACCTGTTGGTGCCAGAGTCCACAGCAGCACTGGAGGGCACAGCTCTGTGGGGTGGACAGGCAGGACATGGGAAGAGGCTTCTGTCATCCACCTCGATATTCAGCTCCAGACTACTGCGATCACACAGGTACTGCAGTAAGGCAGGCCACATGATTCCTTCAGTTTTCCAGTACATATAAAAGTTATGTTTACACCATATAGTTACCTAATAAATATGCAATGGTATTATATCTACGAAGACAATGTACACAGCTCAATTAAAAAATACTTTGTTGCTAAAAAAATGCTAACAGACATCTGAGCTGTTGAAAAAATGATGCCAATAGACTTGCTTGATGAGGGGTTGCCAGAAACTTTCAGTTTGTAAAAAATTGTGCAGTATCTGCAGAGTGCAACAAAGCAAGGCACAATACAGTGAAGTGTGCTTGTGTTCGTGTGCATCAGGCTCACGCTCCTTAGAAAGTTTTAGATCAGGAGCAGGAGGGAAACAGAGGCTCCAGAGGCCAAGGGCTTCAGCAGATAAAAGGCTTACCCACCACCCAGGGGCCCACATAAAAGGCCTGAATAACACATTCCTCTGTCACATAGACAGCAGTAAAGAGCAAGCACACAGGGCCTCATGCTCGAAAGAGCCTGCCACAGTCTCAAAATATTCAAATAATTTTACACAGATGACCCTGCGTTTTCATTTTGCATAGTTCTAAAACTTGTGTCTGAGTATGAGAACTGCCAGTAGGGGGTGCTGTCTCTTCCCATCTTCATCCCCTCCATCGTCACCTTGAAGGACTTCATCCAATTTTCCTGGGTCTTCTGCCTGCACAGCTGCTTTTTCTTTTCTTTTTTATTTTTATTTTAAAGTGGGTAAAATTAAACTCAACAAAACAGAATATAAGAAAGCAATGTAAGAGACACAAATTTCAAAGCAAGACAACAAGAGATCTTCACTATCTATCATATTGCCTCTTGTTTTCTTCCAAATAATTGACCATATCGTCACATACAGAGAATTCACGTGAAACAACGTAGTATAGAACTGATCTGAATAGGATGAGGAAGGCGTTTTAGGTCTTCAAGACCGGGCAACAGGGAAGTCAACAATGGCTGTCAGAGAGCTGCTTTTTCTCCAGCTCACTACTTCCTACCTTTTCAGCCTTCTTTGTCAATCTTTTCCTCTCTCTGTCTCTGTCTCTGTCTCTGTGTGTGTCTCTCTCTCTTTTCAGTTGCTGTTGTAATAGCCGGAAACATGGCAGATTCCACAATACAAATTTATTAACTTTCATCTCTGTAGGAGTCCCTATGGGGCTCAGAGGGCTAAAATCAAAGTGTCTTTTCGACTAGAGGCTTGCAGAGAACAAATTATTTCCTTGCCTTTTCCAACTTTTAGAGGCCACCTATTAGGTTTCTGGCCCCTGTCCAGCTTTCTCCATCTTCAAAGCTAGCAAGGAGAGGAAGTCATTTTCTCCCACAGCATCACCCCAATGTTGGCTTCTGACCCTTTCATTGCAAAGGCCCCATGATTGTACCAGACTTTCAGAGAAATCTTTATCTTCAGACCAATTGATTAGCACCCTTAACCCCATCTTCAACCTTAATTTCCCTTTTTTGAAGAAACCTAACATACAGATTCTGTGTACTGAGGGCATCCTTGGGATAGTGTCAGTTTTTTGCTTACTGCACAGTATCTTTTTCCTTTTCTTTCCCAATCTAGAGTCCCAGCTTATCTTGCCCTTTGGCATGTTAATATTTTTAGCTTTTATATTAACCTTGAAGAGAAAGCGATGAAGAAAAGGTGGGGGAGGGAAGAGAGAGGAAAAGGAAGAAGGTAAATACGTTCATAAATTCTCAAAATTCCTTTCATTTCCTTTACCTCTGTTTAGCACTACTATGCATTATGTACTTGAAAATCAACAGAGATTTTAATTTTTGAATAAAACATTACGAGAAAGCAGTAGAAAGTCTATCCACTGAGTAGGTACAGTTGAGGCCTTAGGAAAAGACTTTTAGAAAGAGACAAGAAGGGTGATCCTGGAATACTGAAACTGCATTTCCTTCTTCCACTCCTGAAGTGGAATCTTCACTCAGGATCAGACTCCTAACCCAGAGACCTGGAAAGTCATCATTTTACTCCTCTCTCCAAGGTCAGGACCTCCTTTTCTCTGGGGGCTTGTAGAGCTCTGGGGTGAGGGCCAATTTGCCTCCATGCATTCCTTACCACCATGTCTCCTCCAGCAGCGATTCAAGCATTGCAAATGAGAACCCTTGGGCAGATTGCTAGGAGAGTATTCTGGCATGGAAATGCTGCCAGCTGGTCTCGTACCCACATCTTTTCAGTAAATTTCTCTCAAGCATATGTACACACACAAATACGCCTTCTGTCGAAAGCAATGAAATAATCTTTCATCAGAGGCTGGAGAAAATGTGCAGAGCTATGAAGCTGAAGTAACTTTTCAGGTCTGGGTACAGCTTTTCATGGACTAGGAACCCAATTGTCACCCCTGCTGAGCAGAGTGGGACTTGAATATTCTGCAAGTTGAAGTGGTTCCTGGAAGTGTGGGCTCCAGTGTTGGCGCCTGGGAGAAGACAGCTCACCTTGTACTTCTCTTTCTTCATGGCACAGCAGCCTCTCTGGGCTGTCTATGATGCTGGGGAACTACATCCCCAACCTAGGATCCTCTTACTGGTTTTCATGGGTGTCGTCCATCTCCTCTTGAGAATGTTAGAATGTTAGCTCAAAGAAACGCTTTGTGTACCAATGTATCACAGCACCTGTCACTCAGACACTCAGTCCTCTCTGTTACCTGCTGTGCACACCACATGCAGGCATAGTCTTGGAACCCTTGCCCTGCCACCTGGAGGTTGGGACATCTACTTCTCACCCACCAGGGTGGCTGCCTGAGCTGAGCTCTTGGCCTGTTGCTTCTTGCTCGTGAACTAGACCCAGGGAAATAAATGTCCTGCAGGAGACCTTGTGAGCTAAGTACCAGAGCACACCAGCTATGAGCTGGTTATTTCCAGGGCTGGGGAGGCTGCTGGGGAAAGCTGGAATTCCAGGGAGATGACAGGCAAGGAACCACTTATAACTCAGCGTGCTTGTTACAGGGACTTAGAGGCTGGGCTTGCAGATATATACCTAATGAGTAACTAAACACAGGTTGAAGCTTTGTATCTGTGCCTTCCTTTGTGTATCTGTCTCCTTTATCACATTAAAGCTTTGGGTCAGATTCCTGCTCAGCTCTGCACGGAGGCATGTTAATTTCGTAAGGAGTCTCTGTCTAAAAACTAGTACTACAAAGCTTGTAAGTCTTAAATTTACTTAATGTTCCTGGCTTGAAACTGAAGACATTAAGATAAGAGCAACTAAAAGTACTTTTCAGGATTTGGAGTGACATCCAATAGTTTTCACACGGTCTAGTTCTGGAACCCATGGAGAAAGGCCTAGTGGTCTCTAGCCATGGTCCTAAATCTATTGTCATCTTAGATTCCAGAAAAGTCAAGCACCCCATGATGGGGCCACCCCCATAAACATGAGCAATTATCCGATGATGGGAATGAGGCTGTCACCCAAAGCTGGAACTGCAGATTTCTTGATGGGGACTGGATTGCCCTCTCAAACAATGATGGTTCTCCTAGGGCCTCCGACCCAGTCCTGAGACACTGATTAATGAGACTGTGATTGCCTTTTTTGCCAGCTATGCAAATATCTGTAACCTTGCAAACTCGCAACTCCTTTGTTCCTTTTTTCTACAAAACTCGAAAGACAGTTACCAACTTCCAGGTGTGGCCATACCAGTTAACATTCATTTCCTGCTGCCCGCTGGCTGGCCTCCTGGGCGGGGTGGCTGAGCCTATTCTATTGGGACCTTCAGCGCACTAAGCTTTCACTCTGAAACTCCAGTAACCATCTGGACGCCTCGAGAGTCAGTGCTGGGCTGCTGGAGACGCAAAACTGCTCTTTTCTTCCCGGGCCAGTGGGGAAGGCTTCCAGAGGTGGGTGCTTTGTGCCAAACTTGAAGGGTGAGTGGGACTTCTCTGCAGTCCAGGGCATTAACTCATAGCATGCTGAGTTCCAGTCCCAGTGTTGCTGCTCTCTGAGAACCTCCAGACAGTTTCTTTCTGTGGCAGAGTAGCAACAGCCTTGATACCTGAGGTGTGTGGGGTTCACAAAAGTGGGCTCTTAGCGGTGCCTTCTGGTGCACTTTCCAGTGTCAAGGCAGTGTCAGATGTTACTTCCTATCTGCCTGCTCCCTTTTCTTCCCTCCTTGTCACCTTGTCTGCATTCAGGTCCTCTCGAAGGAGGGGTTTGCACTGTGGCTCTGCTTGTGCCAAGATGAAGGTCAGGTCCCACATACCTCACAAGGCTCTCCTGCTTTGTGATCCCGGCTGCCCCTGCCTGTTTTCTTGCCTTTAACATCTGGATCTTAGCCAGCCTACAAGCTCATGGTGACCCAGCACAGCCCTTGATGTGGCCTGCCAGCTCTGGCCTCCCTGTGCTTGCCCCAGCTTTTTTCACTCCACACCAGGTGGGTTGTGAGAAGCAGGGTGGAGGAGCACAGTGGACTTCTGAGAGGCACCCATGCTAGCACCCTCAGTTTACCTTCCCTCCCCACTTCCTTCTTCCCTCTGTTTCTCTCAGGGCTCAGGAAGGAGCCTATATGAGCTCATGTCTCAGAAACGCTTTGAAGATGAGAAACACTGAGCATTTTCCCAACAGCCCTCAATTTACTTTTTCAGCATTCTCTCTGGGTTGTCAAGCCTTTGTAGTTATTTTTATAAATAGCAATCACGGGTTGCTTCCATTTTTACCCAGGAAAACTCCACCTCCGGCCGGAATGGGCTATCATCCTAAGGCAGACAGCCACCGGGCTGCCTTTGCCCCTGTTTCCCCTGAGCCACCGCTTCTTTTCACATCTCTCCTGCTGCAGCAGAGCTCACCCTCACAGTCACTTCCCATGCCACCCATTTCCTGTTGGTAAGTCCTGATTGCTCTAGTTGTCGCACAAAGTGCAACACGGCACACAAGGCTGTTCATAATGCAACCACTATGCGCCTGCTCAGCTTCATCCTTGCCTTGTTAACTAGCAGACTTGGACCTAGTCGTCCTGTACGTGCTGTTAATTCCAGGCCAGGTCAGATGTCCAGACCAGGAGGGGATCCAGTTTCAAGAGAAAAGAGTCTCACAATGGGCCCATGCCAGTGTGGGTGGGACAGCAGAATCCTTGGCTGATGGATGTGCATTTTTAAACAAAATATGGAAATTATACAAAAACTAGAGGTGATAATATATGAACCACTGGGTTCAAGAAACAAATTGTTAACTTTACATCTATGGCCTTCATTTTCCCTCTCTACTTCTTCCTATCAGTAAAATGTTACCTTAAATTTCTAGGAAAGTCTTTGTGTTTTGGTTAATGTGTATGTGTACCTGAATAATATATAATATTGTTTGTGAGGTGTAAGCAGCAGAGATTACCAGGTTTGTGTAAAGGCAACTTGGCATGGAATTTATTGTGCCTGGGTTTAAGCAAAGCACAATAAGACCTTTTGCCCCTGAGCAAAGAGAAGTGTGTTCCTTTTAATGGGATAGAGAGGAGGCAGGGGGCATTACAGGAAGGTCTCAGTGAGCATCTGCCTATTAAAAGTTTTCTCGCAATCTTGCATATCAATGGGCAGAGTCCTTTGCAGTGTCTGCTGTAAATTTTGGGGGGTTCCCAGATGTCCCCAGGACCTGCAAACTTGCCTGTCCTTTCTTATCTCCTTTCCCGTGTTTGTCAGTGACAGCCTCAGTGCTGAGCTGAGTTCTCTGCAGACAGTAGTATGTCTGCTAGCAAGCAGGCTGGGGCTGGGAGGGTCAGGCCAGGTTGGAGGCTTAATGTGGTTTTTAGACTACATAAATACAGACTGACTTACTGCATATATGCTTATGAGCTTTACCTACTGGTGTTTCATCATGTTCAATAAACTAATCTCTCTCTTTCTCTTTCTCTCTCTGTCTTACTTTCTAAACATTTTATTAGTACATGTTTATAGTACATGCAGTTTACAATCATCTTGGTGAGTGGGTACATGCACATAATACAGTTTTTTTTTTTAATCCCCTTCTCCATCTCTCCCTTCTCTCATTCAATCTTCATTCTTGTTGATACTATTAATTTTAGCTGATGTTATGCATATGGTACATTCACTGAGGTTATTAGGTCCTGTACAGGGCATATCATTCTTATACTTATTTCCCTTCCCCACTTTACCCCTCACTCTTGTTCCTGTGGGCCCCTTCTGTTTTGCAAGAAATCCATTCCTTTGTCTCCCACTATCTGTCTTTTTTTTGTACCGGGGATGGATTTACCAAGCAGTCACTTGAACCACTGAGCTAAATCCTGGCCCTCTATTCATCTTTTATTGTTCGTTTGTTTGTATTTTGCCTTACTCAGATGAAAGATACCATATGATTTTTAAACTTTATGCCTCGTTTATTTCATGCAAATTATATTTTCCAGGTTCTTGTTGATGGCTGTAATACTGTCTGTTTGTTTGTGACAGGGTCTTGCTATGTTGTTCCAGTTTGATTGAAATTTCTGGCTTGAGTGATTTTCCTGCCTCAGCCCCCAAGTGGCTCACATGATACGTTGTTGTACCACACCTGGCTAATTCCCACTTCTTTTGTTTTTCGGTGCTGGGGAACAATTCCAAGGTCTCAACTATTCCAGGCAAGAACTGTGCCACTGAGCTACACTCCCAATATTAGTCTTAATAAGAAGAAGTCCAGGAAGTATTTTCTCACTGACATTGTTCAGAATAGCTGGGGCATGCTGATAATGAATAGTAGACTGATTAATGGTGACTCCGGCAACTTGGGCTGCTATAACAAAACACCATATCCTGGATGACTTAGACAAAGGAGTATTTATCCACACAGCTCTGGAGCAGGAAGATCCAAGACAAAAGTGCTGGCGGATTTGGCTCCTAATGAAGGCTTTCTTCCTGGCTGGCTGTGTCTTCTCACAGCAGAGAGAAGTCATCACTTCTGTTACTTCTTGTAAGGGGAGTAATCCTATTGGGTCGGGCAGTTGCTCTTATGACCTTATTCAGTTGTAATTACTTTTGTAAATACTCTATCTCTAATTATTTTGGGGTAGGGGCTTCAACATGTGTTTTTGGGAGGGGTATAGTCTAGTCCCTACAAGTAGGTTTATTATTGCTTTTAACTTCTCTACAGGCAGCATACCCCTTATTATCTGCAGAAAGGCAGATCACTTTCACTGTCCATATCTCCTGGAACACCTTGGATACATATGCATTTTCCTTTTGAAGAACTGTGGAAAAGAAACACTTGCAGTCTCATTACCATAATCATTATCACAAAGAATATTCATAATGTGGTCACTACTCAAAGAATGCCACTGATTTTCTCCCCAGTTTGACTGAGTGAGACTTAATCTCTTTATTAAAAATAGTATCAATGTCCCAGAGGAAAAGAAAGGCTGAGCCTCTGTGTAAGCATCTCAGCTTCCCCAGAATATATGTGTTTCTTTCTGGAAAAGTATCTTCCTTTCTGTTTTTTGTATATTTGGGGTTGTTTGTTGTTGTTGTTTTGAGACAGGAGTTCACTGTAGTTCAGGCTGGCCTTGAACTCACTGTGTAGTCCACGCTAGTGCTGGGACAATAAGTGTGTGCCACAGCCATCTGGCTGTGGGTCTTGCTTTCTGAAAGGTCTACTCCATTCTACATTTTAATGATTGCCTATGTATCAGGTACTTTGTGAATGTTATTTTATGGAACATTCCTAACCACCCAGCAAGAAGAAATGGCTTCTCCCATTTTACAGATAAGAAAACAGACTCAGATTAAGCAATTTAGGGCGAAGATTGTAGCTCAGTGTAGAGTACTTATCTGTCATATGTGAGCTTCTGGGCTCCATCCCTAACATTTCAAATAATATAAAGAATTTTTTTAAAAAAATATATAATTGTAAATTAAGTAATTTGCTCAGTAGATTGAACTTCTTGGGATACAAACATGAAATGATTCTGATTTTGTCCCTACATCTTTTGGAGGTTAATACCAAACCTCCCTTTTTACAACCCTTAGTAAACACAAACACTAACAAAAACAAACAAAGCCACCCATCCTGAACAGTCTAGAGCTCACACTGAGTGGGATGTAATGTTACCAGGACCACCCCTCGTGGCTAGGAGTCTGGGATGAGGCAGACTGTGGCTGCTCTGTACCTCACTGTCTTTGGCTCTTTTCTCTTCCCTTGCTTGAGAACTTGGAGAAGAACAGAAGAGGCAGGAGAAGATGAGAATCTCTGTGCTTCACTGAGCATTTGATTGCAAGTCTCCTCTGCAGGATTTGTGGGTTCTTGATGGCTTTTTTTCAGGTGGAAGTCAAAACTGCCATCTCCTAAGGGAATATTTGGGACCTGCCTTCTGCCTCTCTTCAGCACTCCCTGGTAGCCAGAGTCCCTTTGTCTGGAATCTTCTCTTCATGTGTATGTGGGGGTGGGGTAGGGGATGCTGATGAGGAAAGCTTCAGAAAAATAATGCCTTACAGAACTTGGGGATGCTTGGGGAGCATATGAACTGCTAGCTTGCAAACTCCATTCTGCCCACACCTTATTTCTAGCCCAGGAACATGCTTTCACAAGCACCTACCATCTGGAAGGGCAACTCTCTTGCCCTTGACTGCAGAGAATTCCCAAATACTTCCCAATGTAGCTCTTCTCCTACTCCAGTGAATTCCTCCCTGGAATCTCTTCTTTCCTTTACATAGTCTAAGCTGCTGTTAGGGCTGGGGTGTAGTTGGCTCTAACAGAGCTGAGTTGGAACATTTATACTGGCTAAGCATAGTGCATTTATTTTTATTGCTGTAAAGTCCACACAACATGAAGTTAAGCATTCAAAAGTGGCATTTTGTATAGTCACAATGTTGCAGAACCACCACTTCTATCTAATTTCAAGATATATTTATCACCTCCACTTCATTACTGTACCCGTTGATCAGTGATTCCTCATTCCCTCTTTCCTTCCCCCAGTCACCATCAATCTGCTTTCCACTTCAATGGGTTACAAGTGTAGTGCATTTTGATGGTTGGAATTTACTTTTCCTAAGTTATGGTTTGTATTTAGACGTTCTCCTGAGGCTTCATATGATCATAGGCAGGACCTTTGGAAGATTATTGGATTATAGGCATTATAGCCAACTTACTGTCAGGAGGTACGGTCTGGTTGGAAGGAGCGGGTCACTCTGGACGTGATGTAGAAGGTTATATTTCTCTTCTTGGTTTCATTTTTTACTTCTCTGTTTCTCTATCATCTTGCTGTGAGCAGCTTTCCTCTGCAATAGTATCCTGTCAGCCAACTATGGAATGAAACGTGAGCCGATATAAACCACTCCTTCTTTAAATAGTAGGTGTTTCGGCAAGTGACTAAGTCAGATTTTTGTTCAAGGAGTGGGGTTGGTGCTGTGACACTACCTTACCATATGGTTTAGAAGCTTTTGGAACTGGCTCAAAGGAGGAGTTTGGATGCTGGCTGAAGAAGCAACCCTAGAATACTATAAACTGAGCTTGACAGGAAATTCTGGTCAGAGCTCAGAAGACCAGAATGCTGATTTTAAAAGGAGGTGAAAAAGGCTAACCTCAGGAGATTTTAACTGAGAACCAGGATTGCATCAGCAGTTGGACTCCAGGCTATGCATGTTATCTTCTGGCAGAAAATTTGTCTGCATTTTTCTCATGCCCTAAGATTGAGATTAAGGGTGGTAGACAACTTTGGCTGAGGAAATTTCAAGGTAGCTCAGCATTCAGTCTGTGGCATGGGGACCTTTACGGGCTTTTAACCTTCTCTAAATTGAGAATTAAGAGCAAACGGCATGCTAAGTGCTTTAAAAATATTTGACTTTGGCCAGAAAGAAAGCTTCAGTAAAGTCAGGGCCTGCAAAGATGGAGCAGAGGTGAACTTGGTTGCTGAAAAGACTATCATTAGAAAAGAGTCGAGTACATTTGATCAGGAGGTTAGGAAAAGTGATTTGAGGGAATGTGGAAAAGCCTGTAAAATTCCACCCTTCCAAGGATCAAAACTGAAAAGATGAAAGACTTCATCTTGAGAAGAAAGCCCCCAGAGTCCCATGTTCTAGAACTGAGATCATCTGTATTGCTCTCACCATATTGTTTTGACTGATTTTCCTCTATTCTTTCTTGTTTGATACTACCAAGCTTGAGAGTATAGGCAACAACTGTGAAGACAATAAGATTCATTATGATGCCCATTCTGGTTTGACTATTATCTTCTTTTGAAGTCCTGTAATGTCTCCAATATTTTAGTTTTATTGGTTTTGTTCTTTACTGCTTTGTTCAATTTTATTATAACTGATGATATAGGCACTTCTTTTTAAGATAGCAAGAGGCATTATGGTAATCAAGGTTGATCACTTTGTATTTTGTTTTTACAGTATGTATTATGTCCCTCCTTTTGATTTGACTGACTCTGTTTTGTTACCTCACATTTGGTTTTATTTTCTTCAAAAAAAGTAATAAGAACTGTGGGAGTAATAAAACACAAAATGTGTAATTGTCATTGTACAAAAGAAAGGAAAAGAAAGTGCTCTAAAGGATATAACTGCATGTATATTTAAGTGTATAAGATAGATAACCATATTACTGAGTTTTGTTGGATCATTGAACAGAACTGTTTGCAGTCTCACTGTTTGAATGTCCACTTTGTATGCTTTGACTTTGTAACTTGAACAGCTATTTCTAAGATGACAATATGTAATCTGTTAGCAAGTGATTTCCTACTGTTTGTTTTTTCTGAGATTCTGTATAACTTGTACCCTTTTTTTGTTTTTTTAAATTAAAAAATAAATAAAGTTTTAAAAATTAAAAATTTTAAAAAAAGAGTTGTAGGGTCAAGGAGGCTTCCACTCAAATTTCAAAAGAAGGGATGGGAAAACAGGCAGTGTGCACCTGAGAGGATACTACATGAAGCTGTGAGTGAAACCAAAAGTGTAGTGGAGACCTCCGAACACTGGATGAGCCAGGTATGTGGAATGGCTGAAGAAAACTGCAAGGAGTGATCAAAGCCAGCCCCAGAGAGAAGCCATGAGGGCTGCAACCACTGGCGATGCCATAACGATGGGGCTAACTAAGCCCTTTGGAGTTCACATTTCCTCACTACAATTTGTCCCAGGTGCTGGGCATGGGCTACAGGATTTAATGTTTATCCTGCTGGATTTTAGTCTTATTTGGGGTCCATTCTTTTCTATCTTTCTCCTCCCCCTCCTCCCTTTGGGAATGGAAATATTTAGCTTGTGCTAAATATTTAACATTCTTTCTAATTTTAATAGGGGTTCATAGCTAGAAGTTTGACTTAAGTCTCAGAGGAGACTTTGAACTTGAATTTTCAGCAATGTTAGAACTGTTAAAACTTTCAGTTAGTCTTAACTGTTTAACTGAGTAACTCTCAGACATAGGCTAAATGCATTTTGCATAAAGAGATGCTCAGGAATTTCCGTAGTGAGGGGACCAGAGGTGGAATGTTATGATTTATGTCTAAATGTACCCAAAAGCCTCATCCAAGCATAGTGGGGATCTTTGGAAGGTGATCGGGTTAAAGTGGCATTATAGCTGATTTACTGTTAGGAAACTCTTATTGCAAAAGGTGGGTCACTGTGGTATGTCCCAGAAGGTTATATCTCCCTTCCTAGCTCTTGACTTCTCTACTTCCATGATGCTATGTCATGAATGGCTCTCTTTTGCCATGCTCCTCTGCCATGTTGTCCTGTCTTGGAGCAAGCTGATGATGGACTAAAACATGAGCCAAAATAAGCCTTTGCTACTTTAAATTGTGGGTGTTTGGTATTGTGATAAGAAAGTGACTAAGACTCTAAGAATGATGGATGAATCTATTAGACATCATGAAGGGCTTCCGGCACCCCCAGTGGGTCAAATACTTCCTAAAAACTCAAACTGATTGGAATATGGAGTGGAAGTTTTAGCTAGAAAACACCAATCATTAACTCTCAATCGTACAAGTACAGAGCAGTAACTTATCTGTAAGGCAGGCACTGGTAAGCATTTTCTACCTTCCCTGTCTCAGTGCTGGGTGCCTCAGGAAGCAGAAAGGTAAAAGTGTATGGTACAGTGGGATATCCGCCAACTATGGTGCCTCTTTTTCTGCCAGCTGCTATGTGTCTTTGGGCACACCATTTGGATTCTCTGGCACTCATCTTCTCATCTGTACAGTGGGTAGTGATGTGCTGTTTATGCAAATTCTGACACCATATAAGAGAAAATTCATGGCTTAGATTAGATTAGATTAGATTAGATGAGCCTTAAGGTCCCTTTGAGATTGAGAGATGAGAGGTTTCTTTCTTGCCTTTGCGTGGCTCCACATATGATTAGGGGGAGAACCAAATAAGATAGAAAAAACAAAGTCTGCCTCAAGTTGTGGAGGAGTGGCTTGGAGTTTTGGGATTTAGAAAAGGGAGGAGGACTTGTGTCCTGTGAGGGGAGGTTATTGTTTAAGGGCCCAGTGGGATGGGGGCATGAGCAGGGTGAGGCAGGACGTTGCATGCAGTGTGCAAATGCCTGCCTGTGTATGTGCACACATATGTGGAGTGGTGTGTATGCATATGTGCTGATAATGTGGTGTGTGTGCTGCATGTGGAGTGCTTGTGGCAATGGTGGCATATGCAGAATGTGTGTGATGGTGATCGTGTCTGTGTATGTGATGTATGTGTTGTTAGTGTGTGTGGTATTGTGTAGTGATGGTGGTTTGTGTGATGTTGGGGGTGGTGATGTGTGTGGAGTATGTGGGATGGTGGTGGTGGTGGTGGGTGTGTGTGTATGTGTGTGTGCCATCCTGGGGAGGACTACTGAAGGTTAAGTCTATCAAATGAAGTATGTGAATCTTGTTTCAATGTGATTTGAACAAATCCACTGTAATATAAATGTCTCTGGAACACGGGAGAATTTGAATATGGGTTGGGTATCAGATAACTTTGAGAACATTCGCTGGTTTTGTTGGGTATGTTAATATGTGAACATAGGTGTGAGCAACTTAACATGCCTGTCACATAAGGAAATGTCTTTATTTTTTAGAAATACATGCCAAATCATTTAGCAATATCATGATGCTTGGAATTTTTACCACAAACATAAAAATAGATGGAGCAAGAGAGGCAGAATGGTAATCACTGTTAAAGCTAAGTGATGGCTGTCTGAGTGCTTGCTGTGCCATCTGTGTGAGTCAGGATCTGGGCAGGGGACAAACCGCTGGCATCTATTTAAAGCAGGACTCTGAGGCTGAGTGCTGGTTACAAGACACATGGCAGGCTGAGTTGCCGAACAAAGAACCTGAGGATTCAGGTCAGACTTGCTAACCCTGGGCTGGAGGAAGGGTGGGAAGGTGCTGATCCCTGAGCCCAGGGGCTGGGGCTGCCTTGTCCCAGCCACACAAAGGTTTGGACAGGTGCCAGGCGGGGGAGTCACATGCGTGGAAATATTCCCCACGAGGAGGGCACAGGAGACCAGCTTCTCCCTGCCCCCTATCATCGGAGGCTCCTACCTCTGCTGGCACTACCCAGCCAGGCCAGACTGCAACCCAAAGAGCCTCGGGGTCAGCACCCCACCACAGTAAGCGGAGGGGAGGGCCAGTGTGCTGTGCTCCTTGTGCTCAGGGGGTTTGCAACGGTCTTCCCTGGGGCGTGGTTCATGAATTTCTGTCCCATCACTTTGCAGACTCCCTGCAGAGACCCCTGCTACCACACAAAGCTCTGGCCAGCAGAGCTCCTGGGCAGCAGTGCCATTGGTGCCATTTGACAGCAGTTGACGCTTTCAGATGACACCTTTCCTGCAAATACAGCAAGAGTGTTTCTGCGTCAGCAGAGCCTCCCACTGCAGCTTGATTGGAGAGAATCAAGCGCTGTCACTGCCGAAGCAGCAGCTTCGAGAAACCAAGGGAGATATGGCCTCATTTCCCACAGTGGTCCTGATGGTGGCTACCTCAGATCCATTTCCTGTGTGCCCACTAATGGAACTTTGATTCCTGTTCCAGCTAGGAATGTGCCCAACTTTAAACAAAACAAAACAAAACAAAACAAAACCCCTGCTTCTCCAGTACCCCTGAAGTTGCCGGTGACCTTGTGCTCAGGTTCTCATAGAGGTCCTTGGGCAGGTGAAACTTTCAGAATAAAAACTCAAGTTTCTGCTTTTCCTGTGTGAAACATGAATGTGATACCCAGAGAGGCAGCAGCAGTTTTGTAATCATGAAGACTAAAGTTAGGCACTGGAGGTAGAAGCCAGGAACATCTTTGAGTAGCTTCACCAGCCCAGGGCTGCCTACGCTGGACCTCGTTAGGTGATTGAAGTAAATCCCTTGTGTGTTTAATCCACTGTCGGCTGGCATCTATGTTATTTGCCATTGAATACCTACTTTATCTCAGAGCAAAACATATTGTTACTTAAGAAAAGGGTAAAAAGAAGTGAATACATTGGGTGCCAAGGATGAAACTAGCATCATGACCCCTGTGGCACAATGCTGAGCAGTGAGCAGGGGAAATCTAAACCAGCAGCAACGTGCGCGTGCAGACAAGAATGGGCATCCGAGCAGCGGATGTTTAGTGTGTGAGGGCAACTTTTCTCCCTTCTCCCAGGAAGCCAGCAACAAACATTACCAGGAGACTTGAAGAAATTATTTCCTGATGTCAAGGTAAAAATGAAATTAGACTCCTCAGAAGGAAAACATGTGAGTTTGTTCATTCCCCAGCAGATAACAGGACTCCCAGGGACACGTGTGGCAGACACACCTAAGATGACCCAGCCATAGGTCACAGCCTAGGAGCTGGAAGGCTCTCAGCCTCTCTACCTGGGAAGATGGGCAACTGGGACTTGTTCCTAGCCACTAGGATATGGCAAAGGTGATGGATGGCACCCTGGATTAGGTCATGATCGAGACAGATGATGTTATGCACACGCGCACACACACACACACACACACACACACACACACAAGCACAAGGCTTTGAGCAGACTAGAACTAGAGACAGGCTCATCGAGTCTGCAGAAAGAAGCTGCCAGGCAGAGAGGACCGGGTGGCAGGGAACCACGGCCAGATTCTAGAAGTAGGCAAGGGCTCCTGCCAACAGCCAGAGAGGAGATGGCAACCTCCACCTACAACCACGAGGTGATGACTTCAAGCAACTGAGTGACACTGTGGGAACTCGGGGACCTCTGAGGCCAGCCCTGTCCAGCAACCAGCTAAGGTTGCAGCCTCACAGGCCAAGAGGGGCAGGAGACCAGCATGGCCACACCCAGGGCCATGAGATGGAGAACATGTGCTGTGTTCAGCCAATAGGGCTACGGGAATTTCACACCCAGGGCTAAAAAATGAATCCAAAGGGTAGAGAGTAAAGATGCTCTGGTGACAGGGACGAGTCTGTGGAGGGCTGGCCTGGACTGGACACACACTTGTTTGCTCATTCACTCAGAAGCCACTTAGGAGGAGCCGCGGCTCCCGGGTCAGAGTGAGGCTTTCGCTGCACACCCCTCTTCCTTCTTTACCATGTAGGGGAGCACTGACATTTCTTTCTAGAGGTGACAAGAGGACGGAAGGGAAGTTCCCAAGTACTGAATCCCCACAAGGCCCCGGCACAGGACCAGCTAGCTGCTTAATACACACGGCTCCATCAGTCATCCTGGGGACCACAAGAGGTGCTTCTGCATAACCGCGGCACACATGTGAGGCCCGAGGTCCCTCAGGGGTAGCAGGGCTTCTATGACATGAAGTCAGCACCACCTAAACAGGGTAAGACTTTGGCTTAGGGAAAACCAGGTCACCTCAGCTCATGTGGCCTACTTAGCAAGCTGCCATCCTCGCCTTCCGTC